CTCTCTCTGTATACATACTGTTGTAGATAGATAGAAAACTGGTGACAAGACCTATATGTAAATATGTAAACTGAAATATAACAGTTTTTAATAATAAAAAAGGCATATATTGGATCAAATTATCATTTATTTTACCAATATTACAGTTGGCTGAACGCCAACCTTTTATCAAGGTATTATAACATATTAATGTCTTAATATAATACCTTGATAAAGGTTGGCGTTCAGCCAACTGAAATATTGGTAAATTAAATGATATTTTGATCCAATATATGCCTTTTTAATTAAAGATTTATTTATGGATTGATCTATTTTCAAAATGATTTAACTGTACAGTAAAATTTGGATTAGAGAAAGATAACCCAGGAGTGCTGAGTGAGCCAACTACCCGGAATAGATTAAATACATAAGTTAAACAAACAGGACAACATCCAATTTCAATAAATTGTACGACACCATTTCTGTAATAGCATTGCGACCATCTTCAGACAAAATAAGATATCAGTATTTTTGTGTCAAGATAAAGCAGTTACTGAAATGTCCCATACAATTAATTAAATAGAATCTTATCTTTTTTTTTTTTCAACATAGTCAGCTTTTAGCAATCCTTTTAAAAAATGGGAATGGTTCAAAGAGTCTGGTATAAGTTTAAATCAACAAGCGAGTGCACGTAACCAAACGGGGCTCTGGCACATTTGTAAGTGCAAAGTCGAACTGCTTTTCACATGTGTAGACATGTGGTGCACTTACAATAAAAGCAGTCGCTAACTACCCACCATGATTATCATGATATCTGATAGGTTTGTCATTTAAGTGTGGTCAGGTCTATCTAGTCATTGTAGATCCTCCCTGGCCTTCTTTCTCTATGTTTTCCCATTTTATATTCCATGTAAATAAAATGACTGAATTTCTAGAATAGATTAAAATTACACTGATCATAACATTTGTAATCATTATTTTCGGAAATGTATTTCTTCTTGTTTCTTATCCCCTTGTATAAATATTGCACGAATTCCATGAGTTCATACTCCTTGAGCTATGTAATTCTTATATAATATTTATATTATATATTATAATATATCAATTGAAAAAACCCTGTACGATTTATAAGTAAATAAAACAAAGCATCAAGGGCTGCGTTTCTTTATTAAAATAAATATATACGAGCTTTCGGGCACATACGCCCTTGTTGGATTACTGTTTTATTAATTCCTGTAGAAGGGCGTATGTGCCCGAAAGCTCGTATATATTTATTTTAATAAAGAAACGCAGCCCTTGATGCTTTGTTTTATTTAATTATAATATATATATTATATATATTTATAATCAATAGACTCATAAATAGACCTTACCGCAATAAATAAATAAAAATTAGAGGAGAAAGGACTCTGTAAAGATCATTGGAAACATTGCCAAAAATAATTATTACAAATTTTATCAATAGATGGCATTTGAATTTATAATACACTAATCATCTGTGTATTTCTTTTTTACTGATTTTCACATGTGTAGACATGTGGTGCACTTACAGTAAAAGCAGTCTTCTTCTTCTACCCACCATGATTATCATTGCCTGTACCACATGTACTAGGGATAAGCAAAAAAATATATATATTTTTAAATGTGTATATAGATAAAAAAGTAAAAATAACATTCTACTAACAGCATTGCTTCCATCTCAAAACTTTGGCTCAATATGATACAGTAAAACCTCCATGAGTGGACATTCCTGCTAGAGGACACCTCTCTATAAAAGACCGTTTTCATTTGTCAAAAAATTTCCATTTTTATTATTTAACAACTTGCTGGTAAGAAGTCACCTCTCTCCCTAAAGGACACTTTGGCTCTGTAACTAGGTGATGTCCTTTACAGAGAGGTAGTTCTACTGTACTCTGAAGATAGCAAGGTACAGGGAGGAGTATATATAAATATTTGTTTACATTATTTGAAATATTAGGTCTTGTCACCTTTTTTTTTTTTTTCACTATTCTCAATTTCTTGTACATATAAAGATACAGTAAAACCCCTCTATAGCAAACCCCAATGGGACTGAACCTGTGGTTCACTATAGTCACAGTTCGTTATATCCATAGTTTACTGTATTATAAAATGAAAAATGGGGATTATTTCAGGTTCATTATAAGGAAAGGTTCACTATATCCCAGGTTCGTTATAGCAGGGTTTTACTGTATATCTCTAAAAAAAAACTCTAGCAACAGACACATCCTTCCTTTATGTTTTAATAAAGGTGAGGAAATGGAACAAAACATGTTGATGTTGGTGGCAAATTAGCATTTTGACATGAGGAGATATTGGTGATGGGGGTCTAACACTCTCTCCACATGGATGTAACCATGTGTCTAAGAAAGATGTGCTACTTCCCATCTATAGATTCTCTTTTTCTTGAACATCAATATGGACAAGATGAGAGAGAGAGATAAAGGTTCATCCTATCCAACTCTGGCCCAAATGGAAACAACCAGGGATCAAACATCCAGATTAAAAGGTTAATTGGGACTACTGCTGTAATAGAATATAAACACAAGGTAATAAGACAAAATACAAATAAATAAATAGTGTGTGACGTTTTGATAACAGCATTGTTACCATCTTCAGACAAAAGTCAGGGCTTACACATACCTTTTAGGTGAAAGTATTACAATAAACACTGCGATATATTTATTTACATATATATGTATGTACCTTGAAAAGCATCTCTTCCTCTAATTATGCAACTTTCTGATGCGTAATTAAAGGGAGAGGTACCTCTTTTAGTACATGAATATCTTCCTCCCGCACTTTTATGTTATACATATTTAATTCTTCATTTCAAAATTATTTTAAAGGCGTAAGATTCTTTTTGAAAATAAACAATTTCTACTGCCCTGCAAGAGTCTAACAACAGTATCACTATAAAAGGAAGTTCCAAAAATGCAATATAATAGCGGTATGGTAGATTAAACTGGCAAAACCGCTGGGAGGGTTCACTACTGATGAGCCAGGCCCTCCCATTAATTTTTCCCTTGCAGTAAGGGCAGTAGAAATTGTTTATTTTCAAAAAGAATCTTACGCCTTTAAAATAATTTCAAATTTTGATAACAGATGGTGCGCTAGTGTATCATATCTTCATTTATTAAGATTTTTTTATAACTTTACAATCTCACTCCTTTCATTTTACACCTAAGGACAACTCCTATATTGACCACAACTCACCGTTAAATATTTATTAAACTTGTAAATAGAAACCATGAAGAGATAAATTTTTTGTCTAAATTATATAAATAAATGTATTCCCTCATGGAGACAAAACTTAAGGAAGTTGTACCTTTCAGCATGTATATCGAGATTCTAACAATAACACTGAAAGATATTACAGTGACCTTTATTGAAGACACATGAGATAACTAAGTGTGAACAAAATTGTCCCTGTCTTCTTCAAAAAAATAGATGACCGGCAGCAAAGACTTTCCTCTTTCTAAGTTTTGTCCATGAGTGTATATATTGTGTGTCCTTTTGGGAATATCCCTAAACTGACTTCCCCCATTTTGTCAACCTAACCCATTCAATGTAAACAATGGATCTGACCACCAACACAAAATGACAAAGATGCCGGTTGTAAGACTTCCCTTCATTTCCTATGTATAGAGTAGTTGTTTCTAATACAAGTTATAATTTATTAAAGCCATTTTTTTGCAATTCTATGTTGTTTCTCTCATTTTTTTCCAAACATGGCAAAATATAAGCAAAGTAAGGTTTCCCATCTATGGCTAGAATATAGATGGAAAATTTGCCGGGAGGAAATTGATCCATAGAAGCATAGGGCGCCTCTCACTTATTTTGACGGGAGAGGCGCCCTATGCTTCTATGGGTCTCCCATCTAGTTTACAAAAGACATTGATGTTGGGAAAAATTGAAAGACAAGAGGAAGACAAGCAATGAACTGGCTGGAAGGGGTCAAGAAAGCTACCAGAAGATCACTAGAAGAGTGGCAAATGATGATCACTAACTTATTGGAGAATATTGGTCCATATAGTTAAGCAAAAGTTGAACTCGACAGACAATAACAACAAGGCTTCCTTGAATGACCCCTGAATCTCCCTGAATGACCACCATTGTAAAATCAACAATAAAAGCCTTTATTTAGGGTCACTGACCCTATACAGGATTCACCAGAGGTATGCATAAGAACAAATCAGTGAAACAAAGGAAACAACGATATAAACAGAAGGAAAAGAAGAAAAAAAAAAACAAGAAAGAGAAAGAGGGAAGCAAGAAAAACAACACAAAAAGAGTAGCAGTAAGAAAGTGAGGAGTGAGTGTCACTTGGCCTTCTTCTGAGATATGGACTTGTGGAAACCATAAAACGCCGTAGCAATATACTTATTCTGGGTCATATTATCAATTATTGATGGAAGTGCACCATTGTAAAATCAAGACCAGACGTAATCAGATATTTCCAATAAGAGACCATCTCCAGAAGAAACCTGAAGTGTCCATGTTTAGGTAGGCAGTCTCTTGTGGTAAGTTCTACAGTAGAGTTTCTCATGAGAGACCATAGCCTAAAAACATTTATAAACCTGGTTTCTCCTGGAGATTCTACCATATCATAAAGCTACTTTGTAAGTACAAAGTCAAACTGCTTTTCACATGTGTAAACATGTGGTGAACTTACAGTAAAAGCAGTCGCTAACTACCTACCATGATTATCATGGTCTGTACCATGTGTACTAGGGGATAAGCAAAAAAATAATAATAATAAATAATTTTTTTTTTTTTTTGCTTATTCCTAGTACACGTGGTACAGGCCATGAATCATGGTGGGTAGTTAGCGACTGCTTTTACTGTAAGCGCACCACATGTCTACACATGTGAAAAGCAGTTCGACTTTGCACTTACAAATGCCAGAGCCCCGTTTGGTTACTTGCACTCGCTGGTGGGGTTGGACTTTTACAAGAATCGGGGGCCATTGGAGCATTTTTTTTTTTTTTTAAACAGAAAAAAGTGCCCAATGCGGGAATCGAACCCGGGTCCTAGTGGTCGAAAACCAAACGGTTTACCCAAAAAAATAAAGCTACCGACACAAAGTCCCTACAAGAATATTTCAAACTCTAAGCAATAAGGATACAATGATGTTCCATGGTCCCAGACGTACCCAGGTGGGAATGAAACCTCTGTACAAGGCTAGGAAGCCCTCACCACGTACAGTCTGCGCCACAGAATACACACCATGTTGTTGTTTCTTATCCTCTTGTGCAAAGATTACACAAACTCCATAGGTCCATGCTCCTTGAGCTGTAGATAATATACCATGAAATATCCAATCAACAATACACTCACCTGTACAGCGCAGTCCATTACGCCAGAGTAGAGCATCACTCCTTGCTGAGCCATTCGCCTCTGGTTCATTAACCTTGTCTGTACACACCAGGGAGAGTCAACTACAGGGGGACAACTGAAGCCATACATGTGACACAGGACCATTTCAACAATCAGTAAAATTATAAAATTGGGGTTTTGATGTCACAAATCAAATCAATCTCTTCTCACACCTCTCAAGGTCTCAAGATCAAATCCAAATAAATAAATAGCGTGTGATGTTTCGGTAACAGCGTTTTTACCAACTTCAGACTAAAGTGCTGAATGAAAAAGTATCAGCACTTTTCTCTGAAGATGGTAACACTGCTGTTACCGAAACGTCACACACTAGTTATTTATTTGGATTTGGTCTTATTACCTTGTGTTTATAATCTATAATCCAAATTGTGCCTTATCATCTCACACCTCTGTTTCTTCTCATCCTTTTGTGTAAAGATTACACGGATTCCATGAGTTCATGCTCCTCGAGCTACAAATCAACATCTGATCTCATGGAATGGGGAGCAGCTTTCGTTGATCATGGCACCATGATCCAGGCATACTCTCACACCTCTAAAATATCCCATTACGGAATTACATGCCCTGCAAATTTCCATTAAATCTTCTCCAAAAAATTCTTTGTTTGTTCTCCTATCATTCCATTGAGGATGCTTCTGGCCATACAAGATGACAAAAAGAGTTGATTTTCTGTTCCAATTATTTTATTTTGATTATATTTGTTCTTTTTAACCTTGTGAGAGAGAAAATGGTTAGGAAAAGATGATGTTAGGAAAAATTTGAAGGAAGAGATAAAGACCTGCAATGAGCTGGCTAGAAGGGATCATGGAAGCTACCAGAAGGTCACTGGATGAGCTGTGAGAGATGATCATTAACAGATCAAATTGGAGAATATTTATCCACTAGACGAATGGCCCGGGCAACGCCCGGGGTTTACCCGAGTGTGAATATATTTTAAAAACGTTGACTTGGGTGAAGAGTGTTTTTTGTTGCATCATGCTGTGACTCACACGATGACCCAAGGTCAACATGGGTGGCGCAGCAAGCTTAAGCCTATCACCGTCTGGCGGCGCTGCTTGCGAGTTATATCTACAATTCTGCAAATAACTCTAAGGATATTCAAGATATTCAAGAAATTATTTTTCGAAAACCTTTCCGGGGATATACCTAATAATATCCCAGAATTTCAGGGCGATTGGATGTATGGTTTTTGAATAACAGGGTTGTCTAGAGGGGGGCAGGGAGGACACGTGTTCCCTGTCAGCCAATGAGCGCGCAATCTATCCGTGAGCTTCAGACAAACAGACAGAATAAGGCAAATATATAAGTAGATAGAGTTACCAAGAGTCGACTTGATGGATACTAATAACAACATATAGGGATACATGATAAAGACAATTTGGAATATAGATTAAAGATACAAGAAAATAAGATCTCATCCAAATAAATTAATAGTGTGTGACATTTCGGTAACACCATTGCTACCTACCATCATCAGACAAAAGAATTTTTGTCAAAAAACATTTATTATTTTGTCTGATTATGGCAACAACTTGGTTACCCACATTTTGTCTTGCATTAGATGCACTAAACAGGACCTTTGGGAGAGGCCGCTGCTCATCATAAAACAGCTCGAGGAGCATGAACTCATGGAATTCGTGTAATCTTTACACAAGGGGATAAGAAACAACAACAACAACTTGGTTACCAAAACATCACACACTATTAATTTATTTGGATTAGGTCTTATTTACCTTGTATATATAGAAATAAAGTTTAACCTTGTTATAAAAACATCACTTAACACCAGAGATTTTATGTTGTCATAATCATACGTAAAAAGACTTACAACATGGTAATTACAGTCAAATCTCACTAAAACAACATCACTTGGGAGCATGATTAATGTTTCACATTGTTGTTTATAAGAATGGTTAAAACAATTGGAGCTTAAAAGTTGGGACTTTAGAATTATGATGCCATATACAGTTATAAACCTTTCTATAGCGCCCCCTCTTGTGACTTACCAAAATAGGATGCTATAGAGAGGGAGTGCTATAGACAGGTCACTTTTAATGTAAAATGTTTACATTTTATTGTTTAAAATCGGGTGCTCTAGAGAGGAAGGCATTATTTAAAGGGGGTGCTATAGACAGGTTTAACTGTATAACCAAAAGTTATAAAAGAGGCTATTATATAAAGATTCTACTGTAATTTATATGGTTTAAAAATAGCATTGATGTCAAATGTGACAGAAGTACCTACCCTGACAACATCAATAGGATTGGAGGCGAGGGCTCCTGCAAGCCCGGCAACAAAGCTGGCCCTACATCACAGCATCATCCAGACTGTTATAGTATCTTGAAGATAAGAGATTGTGTGTCTGGCCGACACATTCATAGTTCTTTAATATAAGAGACACTTTTATTTTCTCAACGTTTTGACAAAAAATTGTCCTCTGCAGGAAGAATAAAAATTAAAGCATTTGGCATTAAAAATGATTCTCTTTTTTCCTGGCAAGGATAAAAAAGATTTTTGTTGAAACATTGCAAAAATTGAATTAATTTTTTAGGCTGAAATATCTTTTATTATAAAGAACAGTTATAGTGTGGCCAATAAACTTAACTTACATAAAGTGGGTGGGAGGGGTATCCCCTGCTAGACCAGCCAATAGCAGGTGTTTCTTGGTGATGTCATAGACTGGGAGCTCCACGCCGGCACAGACTGCGGCCCTCTGGGCTGTAGGACAGACTCCCTATGTCACCCACACCATAGGCCATGTAACATCTCAATGCTAGGACTTCAATGAAGGAAGACCAGGAAGGCTGGGAATGGGATTTATGGACAATTTTTTATAGAAGACTTTATGATACCATCAAAAATGATAAGGCACAATTTGGATTATAGATTAGAAATGCAAAGTAATAAGACCAAATCCAAATAAATAAGTAGTGCGTGAAGTTTCTGTAACAACGCTGTTACCAAAACATCACACATTATTTATTTGGTCTTAATACCTTGTAGATACCATCAAAAGATTAGCCATAGAAAGAAAGCACAGAGAGGTCAGGAATACTGCCAGCTATCTACCTATGGATGGTTGAGGAAAAATAGATAAAAGAGTGTGAACTATGATAAGGCACAATTTGAATTATAGATTATAAAGACAAGGTAATAAGACCAAATCCAAATAAATAAATAGTGTGTGACACACTTCAGTAACAGCATTGTTACCATCTTCAGACAAAAGCACTGAATGAGAAATTTTACCACAGAAACTTACACACAAAAAAACATGCTGTGGTAAAATTTCTCATTCAGTACTTTAGTCTGAAGATGGTAACAACACTGTTACCGAAATGTCACACACTATTTATTTATTTGGATTTATTACCTTGTCTGACTGTGAACAAGAGACTAAGTCTTAGGGAGTGCCAGCCAACACTGAGTAGAGTAGAAGTTACCTTCCAGAGGCCACGGATGCCTTCAGCCCTGTAGATCTCCCTGAAGCAGTGCCACATCCCCAGATTGGAGTTAGCTACATTTTGAGCCTGCATCCTCACCTGGACACATCTCTGCCAGTTGTAGACACAACAACAACAATGTAGAGAGGGGGAACAGTACCTTGAGGAGATCTGTGGGGTTGGCCAAGGATGCTGCCACCACGCCAGCAGACACTCCAAACACCACGCTGAGAGCCAGACTGTCATCTGCCACACATTTACATATAAGGCACAATTTGGATTATAAACACAGGGTAATAAAACCAAATCCAAATAAATAAATAGTGTGTGACGCTTCAGTAATAGCGTTGTTACCATCTTCAGACAAAAGCACTGAATGAGAAATTTTACCACAGAAACTTACACACAAAAAATATGCTGTGGTAAAATTTCTCATCCAATACTTTTGTCTGAAGATGGTAACAATGCTGTTACCGAAACATCACACACTATTTATTTATTTGGATTTGGTCTTATTACCTTGTGTTTACATTTGCATATAATTTGTTTAATAAGGGCACCATCACTTTTATTGAATTTTAATTCAAAAATGCGATCCATTGAATATTTATATATTTAAAAAAAAAGGCGTAACTGAATCTGTGAAAAGAAAAAAAACTTTTTTCTAAAAATATTTCTAGAAATTGCTCCCTCTATATCATAAATTTTTGCACAATAAACTCTTATTGAAATAAAATAGTGGCATTTATATTACTTCAATGATATCATTTTCTGACTATAAAATATGCAAATTAGTTCCGTTATAGGAACTAATAATTTTATATAGGCCTAAACAATATCTCCAGCTACCTACATGAGAAATTTCCTAATGATCTATTCAGTAGTTTTAGTGGAGAAGAGTAACAAACCTAGATTTAGCATTATATTTATATACACTCATTGACAAAACTTAAGGAAGTTGTACCTTTTAGCATGTATATCGGGATTCAGACAGTAACTCTGAAAGTTACACTCATTGACAAAACTTAAGGAAGTTGTATATTTTAGCATGTATATATATATATATATATATATCGATATTCAGACAATAACTCTGAAAGGTATTTGATACAGAGTGACCTTTATTGAAGACACATGAGATAACCAAGTGTGAAAAAAATTGCCCGCCTCCTTAAAAAAATATAGGCGACTGGAAACATCAAAAACTTTCCACTTCCTTAAGTTTTGTCCATGAGTGTATAAAG